TATGTTTGTGTCCGCCTCATGTGATCTGACTGCGACACACTTTTAGCATATTGGTTGCAATGATTAGTGTTTCAGATGGAATGTATCAAAATGTCGGTGTAATGAGGGAGATAGGATAGTTAGAGGGTAATGCCATTTGCACCACTCATTTACTCCATGTAGAAGCTGCATCTTTCGGCATAGTATCATTCAATGAAGACTTCATGTCTCAGGATATCAATACAGCCTATTTTCGTGTGAAGAACAGTCTTTTTTGACAAAATAACTCTCTCAATACTTGGAAATCACCTGCAAATGTTATCAGAATCGTTGGTGGGAACCTAAGTTGTCATTTAGATGTGCTTTTCACTTTATATGTGGTTGGACAGGAATTATGGTAAGTTGAAAGGTTATCTCTAAATGGATTTCATATATATTGGCACTGGTTGGTGCAGTGTGCTATGGGTTATGTTAATTAAATGTACAAAAATATCTCAACTATAATAATATTGTGCCATTGTGTACTAAGCTGACTGATAGGATAACAAACGAAGGTGGTTACTAGAACTGAATCTATTCAGCTTTATTATCATTAATATGAATTTATTCTCTTTTACAATTTCCACTGACTGTATACTTAATGCTACAATATTTTTGATCACCAATAGTGGAGATGAATTTCTCCTGAGATTTCCATTTAGACAAAGCAGTACAGATGCTCTATGACGATTGAATTTTCTAGTTTGCATTATATGACATTATTATCCTCATCAACACAACAGGTCTGTGTACTTTACAATAGTTGAAGTGTTTCACTATGTTGTTAGCACTGTGCATAGCTGTCTAGAGTTGAGGCATGTTCAGCTTATATTTGATGCCTATAGTCTCCTAAATGTGAAAATGTGATTTCTGTAGGATTCACAAAACCTTGTGGACTAGACATTACTGAGATTGTGGATTAACTTCTAAGTTATACACTTGCAATACTTCATTTCATGTAAAAGTGTTTAGTGTGAAGTTGATCTGCAAGTAAGCTTGATGAGAGAATGACGCCTCAATAGTATGAATGTTTCGGAGATTGCCTTGAAATTTGCATATAGTCCTCAAATGCAGGAAAACATATGATGTATATTTATGTATACGGCGTCAACATAAATATCAGCTGTAGACTACAAATACATTTATCTCCCTGAGATAATACTTAGTTTTAACAGAATGATTGTATTCATATTGTATGCTAATATGTAGAATTGTCTCTTGTTAACTTCATGTTATGCTAGTTCTAACATGTACTTTATTTTTTCCAGGTTTACGGAGGTTGTCGAATATGAAATCAGCGGAAACATCATTCGGTCAAACTAACTTTATTACCCTTCATCAGAATTTTCTTTTGTAAATTAATCAAATGTTTAATATACTCTTGATTACTTCTTCCTGTAGACTTCTTCAATTCCTCGCTATACAATGTGCTTTTGTAATAAGTGAATTAGGAATAATAAACGCTAAGCTTAGTTAGTGGGATGGAAATTCACTGTAGTATTATGAGAATGTTACTTTAGTCATTAGTAGGATTTCGTGTCTGTTTCTACACAATAGCACATTGTAAAAGCTAAGTGGGATTTAGCAAGTTGAATAATAATTCTGTACTGTTGGATACTCTAAAGTCGCCTTATCTAACCAGTTGAAAGTCTGTTTACTGTTAAACGCCAAGTATGTAGTACAAGTAAATGTAGTAACTTAGGCTTGATATCTACTTCACTAATCCGTTAATATGCAGTGACATCATCAAATAGACTGTTCACTTGACCATCAGCTAAGAAACATTTTTTATTTATTTTAATATGCCGTTGAATCATAGGATGTTATCTAGTATCCATCATTTCTGTGATCAAAAACTGCGGTATTTGCATGTCTACTTTATAGATGTTAAATAACCTACGCCTGTATGCATGTAATTACCTCCAGTATTTCCTATTCATTTGGTGTGTGTAAACTAAACAAGTCTTTCATAAATTCTCCCATAAATGCCAAACTTTCTAGTGTTACAAGCGTTAATAAGACCTGCTTCCTTTGTTTCAAATCAAATGAGGTATATACGAACTAAGGGAAAGTTACTCTTACTTAATCTTTAACCCTCACTCAGAGCCTTTAACGATCCCAAACAGTTCTCCTATAAACACAGTAGACGTACTTTAGATGCAGCTGCAGTCTTGCTTCACAACATTTTCTCCAGTATAGACAATGGGGCTAAATTCGCTGCACCTTCCTAGAGTACACATCCGCTTTCGACTCACTACCTAGAGATATTCTGTTAGATAAGCTTGCTGAAACTCAAACTGAGTATTGGATTGTTAGATGGCTTCATTCTAATTTATCAGGGAGAAAGCAGAACACTGTAGGTCAGGGGGAAGTCGTCCATTACCAATTGTATTTTTGTTTGATGAAGTTATTGTACGAATGCATACGAGAAGAACTTTTTCAAACACGCGGACGATCTAACTACTTCAATGTCTGTTAACTGCCAACTACACCGTACTAAGATGAACAGCTCTCTATTAGGAGTGGGAAAATGCTCTTAAACTAAATCCTTCGAAATGTCAGACTGTTATTTTCAGTTTCCGATGTAAACGAAAGTTAGTTGAAGGTGTTAATTCCTATGACCGTTGCAAAATTGATAATAGTGATATGGAAATGAAGTCTGACTCTAAGTATCTCGGACTGATTCATCGCAGCGTGTTGGCCCTAAATGTATGCCACATGCAGGCATAATGTTTATGAGCTAGGTATGCAAATCATGGTAGACGCTTGTACGGTACATTCATTATTTATAAAACTAACTCGCACGTAAGAACTATGGTTTGATCAGTTATACAACGTTTAATACATTTAGACACAATTAACCTACGATGCTGACTTCTATGACGCATTACCTAAAACTACATTAATATAGTTTCCGCTGAAGGTTATCTCCTATAGTTACTACCTTAGTGGGCAACTTAGCGTTATCTTTGAATAACGAAAATTCCGAGAACTTTCTTGGTAAAAAGATCGTCCCTTACTCGAAAAAATTAAATATACCCTAGTCTCCACAAAAACGTTCAGAGGTATTCATCCTATCACCGCAAACGACTCACTATTTGCAGCCATTTAAAAAGTAAAAATAAATTTACCGATGGCAGCGTGCTTATGATTTCTAGATATCATAATGTACCATGAGGAAAACGCTATCTCCATGCGGTTATAAGTCAGATGTGCGAAATTAGTCAGAAACACAACAACCACGATTCTCAGTCACATAACATCTTACTTCGCTACCTAATCGTATAGTCGTATTAACGGATGTTTCGCCGAAGAAAAGAAGACTACTGGTTCAAGGATAATTTATTTAGTTTTTTTTAAGATCGTGAACATCTGTGTCTATAGTCACGGAAGAATCACAACTTCGAGGAAACCATCAATCGTAGACTACAACCCGAAACGTTATTCTTCCTAATTAATGTCTTACCTTTAACTGGGATTGTTTGAACACTCACCAGATCACCGTATTTTATCCGCTTTGAAAACCGTTTTGCAACCCATCGAATGGATGTTAACACTGGCTCTATTACGGGTAGTCCTAGTTCATTTATTGCGATCTAGTACATCAAGCAATAATAAGCATAAGTAACACTTACCCTTAAGGATTCCAGGTTCTTTTAGTTCCCCCAAAATATACACAAGCACAACAGATTCATACTTTTCATGCGGCTCAACCTTATTTGGCTTAGATTCTCTCACAATATATTTTTTTAAATGATAGCAGACACACGGATGGTATATTCACATTCTCAAAAATCTTCAAAGCTTTTTCAACTTCAACCCAGGTTCTAAATTCTCTGGGTTTAATTTGTTCTTCGAAAACCTTGCTAATACCAACTCTGATGGTGCTCTCTTCAACAGATTCACTCGCAGATTGTTGTATGCTGCAAACATGAACGAAAAAGACACTCTTTTTCCAGATTTCTACATGTTATGCAAGTAACTGAGCCAACAATTGTAACGGCAACCAACTAATGGACTGGAAACAACTGCTTCTGACAGCCAAACATCTTCATGTGCACAATTTCAAAACCCTCTACACAGTACTAATTCATTAACAGCTGAAAACCAACTAAAACACTCAAAGCCGCATGAATGCAAGGTATGAAAACAATTACACCGAAATGAATGCACTGGCCTGGTAGTGAAAACTTTCGAAACCAAAGAAATAATTCATTTTAACAGCAACGGAAACAAAAAATGAGGTGAAACGCAACATTTGTGAACGATACGCAACAAGATAAGTCGTGTATAACGGCAGGATAAACGGAACAACAAACGCGTTAACGAACAGCTACGGAACTGCGATCCAACATGGCCGACTAAAATGGACGAAAATGACCTTCGAGCGCCTCACTCCACCAATGACCTTGATAAGTGACGGATAATTTCAGCCAACAAAAAGTTTACAATCATATTGTTACGTACTCAACAGTCATGCGGCTTAGGAAGGATGGCGTCTGAACGGATTATTCCCTGAAAACTCGCACACACCATTATTGGATACGCTCCTAAATTTTCCCTTTTAGTACTGCTAAGTCTCCTTTGTCTTACTCTCCTGACTACTCTGTATACTTACTCATTTACGTCATTAAACATATGCACACTTATTTCAAATTTCATTATCTGTCTGTTTTTATGTTTCCCTTTTTAAGTCCTACGTAGTCTACGCTATATATATCCATCATTATCCTTCTTCGCCAAGACGTCGGATGACTAACCTACCAACCCTACTAACAGTGTCGAAACAGTTTTAACACACCGCAGACTACTAACCACAGACAACCAATCCCAGCCATACTTTGAAGTAAGTCAAAGCTACAAAAAAAAGCAGTGGGATGAATAACGCAGAAGTCAACGTAAGACCAGCAATCTTCACCTCATAACCGAGAAAAAAACAATATTGAACACTGGACCGAAATAATGGGGTTCATTCAAAATCAACGGTACCAGGTGGGTTAAGAACTGTTGAGTGAACTGCTGAGTAGCACTCACTTCCTTCGGTCGATAGCCGGATATCACATCTACGCCAGAGATGGCGCAAATTGGTAAATGCCAAATGAGCTTTTTGTATCCATGCTGAGATTTCGTCAGCGATCAACCCGCTGTGGTTGGTGCAACTCCCTGAATAAGTGAAGTGGTCAACACGCTCATTAACTTCACTCCCTGTCTTTAGGCTAAGAGTGAATGTAGTGCAGTCCTGTAGCATCATTTAACATTTGACGGTGGGAGCGAATCGCATGCCGAACATTCGAACATTGCTCACTGCTCAAGGTGTTCAGACGACTCTGCTGTATTTTGTCGGAATCTTCACCTAGGAGCAGGATTACATCGTCCTCATATTCTGAGTCAACGGGATTATTCCCTGTTAACAAGTCAATCCCTGAGTCTCCGTAGTCAGTCCATTAGTACATGTATGATGAAATCGAATAGAAATAGGATTAGTTGGCATCCCTGTTAGACACCACTAGTTGTCACCACTTCAGATGCCAACTCACCGTAAGCTCTTATCTGGCTGCATGATTTCGAGTGGAGTGCCTTGATCAGTGCAGTGTGTTCTCTCGGCATTCCTTTCACACCGAAAAATCGCCAGAGTACCTCTCGGTCGACAGAATCGAATGCCACCTTTAGGTCGAGAAATATAACGATTGTTCCCTGTAAGATGTGGCCATTGAAAGCGTGAGGCATGAAAAGGCTGGCTACCTGTCTTTGATCATAGGTGCCTGAATTCTATGTCTCGTGTTATTTTTTATGATAAAGTAAGCAATATTGAGGTTAGGCATCGTTTAAGTGCTAGTTAAGGAGTTTAATCTAATCGACGAGGTTGTGAAGCCGAGTCGATTGAGATTGTTGGGACACGTGTAACTCATGCCCAGCTGTCGCCCTCCTCGATGGGCAACGTTAGCCGACATAAATCAGGTTGTATAAGAGTTAATTGTTTTGAGGCGGAAAGTTGGTATCGATCTACGAGACCATTAACATTCACTTCAAGCTTCCTGGACAGGTGTAGACTGTCTGGTTGGCGTATAGAGGATGGTATGACCCAATGGCTGAAGACATGTGGTGTTATGGCTCACAGTCGTTCTCAGTGGCTGGCGCAGGTGCATTCCCTCTTTGTGATCCCTCGCACCCATTAAATCCTCGAGTTTTTCTATGCTACTTTCTGCTTATTATAGTTGTTTTGGACCTCCTTTTCTTTTTGTGTGTTACATAGAGTCTGGCAACTCTAACTGCTGCACTTCTGTGCAAAGTACCATATTGAAACTTAGTCACTCAGATTTGTCGGAAAGAGTATGAGATTAAAATCAAGATTATAGTGGACTGTAGTTCAGTTGCAATACTCAGATAAACAATTAGTTATCGGAAAATACATCAAATTATCAGAAGTTGCAAAATGAATGATAATAATAGCAGTAATAATAAAGCGAGTTCAGCTAATGGTACTATCAAATGATAGTTTCATTGAGTCAATAATAATAATACACTGAATGAAATGGTAACAGTTAATAAGTAGAAACGATTACCACGATAGGTTCAATGTGATCGTCAGTTTCCTCTGTAAGGTTGCTTTTTATTTTCATGCGTTTATGTGATCTGAACATGATATTCCGCTTAGCTTCAAATACCACTTCCTCCATGGCTTCCTTTAATATGTGATAATTCGACTATTCATTGGACAAGCAACGGAAATTAGTATGCCGTACACTTCATATTCTCCCCAGTTTCCATTTTGTGATATTTCTAGTGCTGCAACCTCTAACATATTTGGTTAGCCTCAGGTGATGGAAGTCTAAACAGGTCACATGACAACCGAATTGTTATCTTCGTGCACAGAATACATAATGACATTCGATTGTCAGGCTAGTTAACATCTATCGAAATTCACAGCAGCTTATGATCCAAACTTATTAATCTTAGTGAATTAGTTGCCTCTATTACTGCGTCCCGTTCCCACTTATTCACAATGTCCTACGAACTCCAATTGATGAATCGTTCACATTTCTTTATCACACTCTGTATTCTATATGAAGATAAAACTGTCAAAATGCAATAGTGTTAAGGTCTTATTAATTAATGAAGTCTGCATGCTGTCAAAAATTAACTACCACATTTCTGTGTGCTCAACGAGGTGTTTTCCACTATGATAGAGCATTTGTAATCGACGTATTCTTCAATGAAATTGGATTTTGTGATATGAGATTCAGCAGTTTATTCGTTGTCTGGCTCCGCTTTCACATTTTCATACTAAGGTTTGAACTGTAGATGGGAATAGAACACTGATTAGATCTGTTTGAGAACTTATTTAAACGGATGTATGTATTTTGAGGATCTTATCGTCAAATTGTCTTCAGTGATTTTCCAAAATAAAGGGCTGTACTCGCTTTGGCGGTACATATACTAAATTCGGAACGATACATAGAAGATTAGCATGACCCCTGCACAAGTGTGACACTCATAATCGTGAAGCATTTCATATTTTTTGTGCTTCTATGACACAGCGGTAGAATCCTCGCCAAACATACAAGTGGTTCGGGGGTCGACACCCGACCGGCGCACTCCATTACCTCTAAGCTAGTAATAAAACTGATAAAGAGGAAAGGTTGGGCATTAGACCAGCAACCCCATCCCGTAAAAATAAGACACCACTGCTATCGAAACTTCAAGCCTGTAGCTTGAAACCCAATGTTCCACTGGGAACGTAAAGGAATAAAAAAGTACGTAAGTTAATGAATATCACTTCTGTCACCTGGAAGTTGGTGAGAAATGTTTTGTTTATTATATTGCTGTAGTGCAAATAGGTTTGGAGCAGCTACTTATTTGTGTGTATACTTTTTCCCCAATTTTTTTGAAATTCCCCATAAGTTTCGGTATTTTTGTATAAAGCGTTGGTTTTTATATTGTAGGCTTTGGTAAATTACACTATTAAATTGCGTGTGTCTGTGATCTTCACTACATAATTACCACTTTCTTATTTAGTGATGCTAGAGGTTAGTCACGTGCGTTTTTTAATTAAAATATAAAGTGTGCAGCACCAGGTGTTGAAGATGCTAATGTATGGGGTCTCGTTAGTCTGAAGAAAGGTGACAAAAAAGCACCGAGAAAAATCCTAAATGATTTTCATAAAAATAATGACGTACTAAATGAGTCTAATGAAGTTCAGGATGCTATGCAAACTAGAAGGTTAGCCTTCCGAGGAGTCAAACGACAGTTAAATCTCTGGAAAGGCCCAGTGCACAAAAATCGCCTAGCAGAACAAATAATTTTTCCAATAAATGACAAGGAAATTATATTATCAGGATCTCAAGAGGCTGCGAAAATGAAAGAGCAGCTTCTAATTAAAGACCTCAAGAAAAATTCAACAAATTTGCAGGGAAAGTTATACAGCGCTTTGTACAAGAATGAGGACACAAGGTAATTTGCTTTTTCCCTCGTTACTGTTTAGCATATCTAAGGATAAACCTGATAAAGCCTCGAAAATGGTATCCAAAATGCTACTTGAAAAAATCGCTATGCGTGAAAGAGAACGTTTTTTGCTCGCTCGAGTAGCCGCTCGTAATAAACGTCAGAATAAAATCAAAAGCAAACGATTTCACCGTCATTTAAAAGGCCGTACAATGAAGGAGTACGAGAATGAGACAGAGTCCCTGCGGCTTATGAATCCGAAAGAATTTGCCAAGCGTCTCGTCAGTGCAGAACTTAATAGAGCTAAGGAGAGAGCTAGTCTTAAACACAGGGGTGGTAGTAAGTTCGCGAAGTTGCAGAAGTTGAGAGCTAAGTACGACTCTGAGGTAAGTGAATGTCAATGCTTTCTATCAATTTTCAGGCTAGGGCAGCTGTAGCAGATATGCATGAGCTATCCCGAGAGGTTACAAGAAGACCTGATCCACACATGCTGTCAGATACTGATGAGTCCGATGTGTCAATTTCTTCGGAATCCGAAGGCGAGTCAGAAGAGTCTGATTTCAATTTAGACGACGATAATGAGGATGACAGTGGTGTTAATGGTAATGTAAATGGAGTAATTCAGACTTTTGGGTGGTGGAAAAAGGTATAGTTTTACAGTTTACTCCACTTAAACTAATTTTGCATATAAAATTATTCTTTGAAAGTTATCTTTAGGTGTAGACAATCCTTTGACTTCGCGTCATTTCTAGTGCTTCCTGGCGGTCATAAGTGAATAAATCTGAATCCTTATAAACAGTTAGGTGTCTAAAGTACCTGTATATTTTAGAAGAATGCAATTTATTGCTGTCTTATGATTTTCATTCCAACACTTAAGGTGTTAGTTAATTACCGTTAAAAAATGAAATAAGTGGACCACAACATCAGGTAGTCTGTTTTATATGGCATGCTCTGAGTTCCTTTTACTAAAGGTTATGAAAATAAGTGTAATAGAAAAAAACCTGACCGTCGTTTGAATATTAAAAGCAAAGAGCCTTTGCTTTTAATGTTATCTTTGTAAGATGTCACTTTTAAACCTAGTTGTCTTCGGCGATTCGCTCACTAATATTGGTCTGACAGAAGCGGTTGTGTGGTGTATATACCAGCTGACTGTCAACTCGAATATGAAGTATAAATTTGTCGGGAAAAGTCCAAGGGTAACTAGACGATGACATTATTTCAGTAAGATCTATTTTTCGCATAAGTAGTGATATATCTATGTACTTCAATAAACAAATAATAGGGACTGAACTGCAAACAGTGTTATACCATATTTTGTAAAGAGGTCAGAATACTACCAAGGGTGCCGGCACCTTGATAAATGACTTTTCTAAACATCGAATTTCAAGTTCATTTAAAAAGGTAGTTGATAAACATCAGTAACGGTCGAAGTGGGCCTATAGGTCGGTCGTACAATTGACGTGTTTATCGTCGAATTTCCGGACAGCATCCTGCATGGCGGTCAAGTAAGGTGTTACGACAGAAGACAAGGGCCAGACAACATATCACTTATTGAGCAAATCAACAGATATTTATGGGTTTTTATGTACATTATTTTTCGTTATTACTAGCAGAGAAACACCGTCTTCCGATTGACCGTTTTCTCATTGGAAGTTATTCTATCATCGCTCTGTGGTCGTTTCTTTGAAGGTCATACATCTGCTAATCATATCCACCCATTCTAAGTCTTTGCTTTTGTTTTTTTCATGAGCAAGATTTGGGACGTAAACATTGACGTGAATTGCTGTCTACCAATTTTGGCCAGCAGACAGCTCTCACCACAAAAGGACAAACAAAATCCATTCATAGCTCTCTATTCTATCTCATCTCGTGGATACAGAACTCAAGACTAGTGTTAACGAGGTGGCTTTC